TCAGGTTGTAAAACTATTGGCTGTAAATGGGGTTTTGAGAAAAAAACTTAAACCAGATGGATCTATTGATAAATATAAAGCAAGGCTTGTTGCAAAAGGTTTTAAACAACAAGCAGATCTTGACTTTTTTGATACATTTTCTTCGGTTACTAGAGTTACATCTATTAGATTATTAATTGCAGTGGCTTCAATTCATGATTTAAAAATTCATCTAATGGATGTTAAAATAACCTTTTTAAATGGAGACCTGGGTAAAGAAATCTATATGGATCATCCTGAGAGTTTTGTGGAACCCGATCAAGAAAGCAAAGTGTGCAAGTTAGTTAAATCCTTATATGGCTTAAAACAGGCTCCTAAACAGTGACATGCGAAATTTGATTCCTGCATGATTGAGAATGGCTATAAAACGAATGAATGTGATAAATGCATTTACTATAAATCTGAAGAGAATTCACATGTCATTATTAGCCTCTATGTGGATGATCTACTTATATTTGACTCTAGTTTGCATATCATCGTGGAAACTAAAAATATGCTTAGTAGCCATTTTGATATGAAAGATCTTGGTGAGACTAATTATATTTTGGGAATGAAAATTATCAAAACTTGTGATGGTATATTTCTTGATCAGTCGCATTATGTTGAGAAAATTTTGAGAAAATATAATATTTATAAGCGCAAGCATGTTCTTACTCCTTTTGATCCTCATGTGCGTTTATTTCCTATTGAAAAGGATGAGGATGTAATTAATCAAAAGGAATATGCTAGTATGATTGGTAGCTTGCCTTATGCGACTGACTGTACCAGACCTGACATTGCCTATGCAGTTGGAGTACTTAGCAGGTTTACTAGCAAGCCTGGTAGTGATCACTGGCTAGTCATTGAGCGTATTATGAAATATTTATCTGGTACCATAAAATATGGCTTGTTTTATAATAAGTATCTTGCAGTACTTGAAGGTTACAGTGATGCTGATTGAAATACCTTGTTAGGTGATTCATTATCAACCACTGGTTACTTATTTACATTGGGAGGTGGTGCTATAAGTTGGAAATCGAAAAAACAAACCATTATTGCTAATTCAACAATGAAGGCTGAGCTTATTGCTTTAACTACAGCCAGTGAAGAAGCAAATTGGTTAAGAGATTTGTTAAATGAAATCTTATGTTGGGAAAAACCGATTCCACCTATATTGATTCATTGTGATAGCACCGCAGCAATTGGTGAGTTAATAACCGTTATTATAACGGTAAATCCAGACCTATCAGAAGAAAACACAGTACTGTGAGATCTTATATGAATAATAGTATCATAAATGTGGATTATATTAAATCTGGTGATAATCTTGCAGATCCATTAACTAAGGCCTTAGCAAGAGATAGAGTCTGGAATACATCGAGGGGGATGGGGTTGAAGCCCATTGAATATAGCAGGAGCCATGTATGAGGATACTCAACCCAGGGACCAGAGATCCTATAACTGGGTTCAATGAGAAAAACGATCATATGATGGCCGTGAGAAATGCACTAAATTATTTTTTACCCATCCCTATGATGTAAGTGTATTTATCCCGTAACGTTGTAGAGGTTGAGTTATTAAAAAACTCTTAATGAATTTCCGTAGCTCTTATTGAGTGGGGTGTCATAGTTACAGGAGCACCTTTGACAGAATTCACCTATGTGAGTGTGGTAGTGGGGCCGCTACCTATGAGATTTGGGCTAATTCTCAAACACACTCATGAATCCTGGGATCGCACAAGGCCGTAATGTGCTAGCTTTTAAAACTTTTGTGAACACTTGGAATATTTTGTGTGTGCAATAATTATTTATTTCCCTTAAGTAGTCATAGTTCAATGCTGAGCATACTATTGGCTCTGGAGTAGATATTATTGTTTTTACTAATTGAGGTTCAATGCAGAGCACACCTATCATGATGCATAATATCCTTATTTGCCTAATAATCTCAGTTTTTGTTACCTATAATATTAAAATAGGTGGGGGAATGTTAGCAAGTATTTTAATATTATAATGTGTCATAGGTTGGTTTTCTTTTCTTTTCTACCAAGTTTACTTACCGTTCAAGTCTTTGCCAAGTCTTGGTTAAGTCTCCTCATTCTTATCCACATCAAGTCTTCCTAGTCTTCCAAGATAAGTCTTCGCCAAGTCTTATCCTTTCAAGTCTTCCAAGTATTCCTTTTCTTATCCACCAAGGAAGACCCCCCTAGCTTTTTCTCCTCTATATATTGAGCTATGTCCTATCTTGAGATAGATGAGAAGAAGTTTTGTTGCTTTATTATGTTTTGTGTGAGATTATCAGGCAAATAAAAATGGTGTATGTGATAAAATTTTGAGTTCAACCAATTGTGCAATATTGGTGAACCGTACGACTTAGTCGGGTTGTTGTATCCTAGGGGGACAAGTCAAGGTTTTTTTTGCTGCACCGGTGTGAGGCTTTGCCTAACCGCAGAGAGCTTGAATCTCCTTAAAGAAAGCGAATTTCCCGCGCCTCAGCCCTTACAATAGTTATTGTAATTTTTATTATTCTTATTTTTTGATATTTTATTTATAATTATCACAAAAAATAAGTATGAGAAATATAACACTATTAGCCCATAATAACTCAAAAGTCAATAAAACCAATAAAGCCTGCCTAATAATTAGTTACCAAAACCTAAGCTGAAGTCCAACAACCATTCGACTACTACTTAATACAATTCCGAGTGAGGAAAAAATAAATCAAACTCCCATGTATAAAAATTAAATCCAAGATTTCACATCACAACAAATATTAGTCTCGTTTGGTGTAACTGTTAAAACAAATTATAATTATAGCTTAACAGATTATAAATTATGACTTTAATCAGAAGCTGTTAATCTGTTTGGTGTAACTGCTGGATTATAGATTTAAGTTGCTAAGTAGTGTTTAGTAAATAAGTTATGAAATAACTTTTTGAATTAATTTTTATTTTTTATTATTCACTATTAGTCCACACACACACACACACACACAAAAATCCATAGTCTATTTGAGTCTTTTTCTATTTTCAAAGAAAAAACAAAATCCTAAAAGTATAATCGTAAATTAATATGACCACAGCAGAAGTTGAGAATAAGAAGCATAGACAAACAACTTCTTAGAATTAGCTTTTTATGAATTAAAATAAGTTCCTAAAATCAAAACCCATTTAAAATAAGTTTAACCAAATTATGGGTGTAAACGGTTCAGTTCGGTCGGTGTTAAGAGTATATTTAAGACCGAACCAACCCTTTTGGTTTTTATAATTGAGAAACCGATACAGACCGTATGCTACGGTTCGGTTTTGTCGGTTTGATGTAAAAGAGAAATTTATATGAAATTTTAAAAGGTTTTATAGTAGATTATGAAATTTTACATTGAAAATAAATGAAGAAAATATATAAAAATTGCTCTATGAATGTTGTTCTTCCTAATTTGTATCACAAAAGTGTATTATCTTAGTTACTTCTCATATAATGTTTAAAAAATTAAAATATAAAATATTTAAATATAATATGCAGTTGATTCAATTTACATGAATATAACAAGTTTCAAAATTGAAATAAACCGTATGTTATGAAAAATAGACCAAAAACTTAAATTTCGGTCGGTTTCGATCAATGATTTCGATTTTATCAAATGTTTTTTACATTCCTAAACCAAACCGTCTAAGATAATATTTCTAAAATTAGAATTTATAAGTTGCCATAATTAGCCACACTAAACACTCCCATTCTTTCATTACTATGTATGGTCACTCGTACCAACGAAAATCAATCTACATAAAGGCACCTAAAAGCCTGAGCCAGACGAATTGGACATAAAATTAATTAACGGTACGAAGACAAATGTAAGATATATTGATTCATCAAAATTGATCGATCTGAACCGATCTGTTGTATTTTAGACTGATGCGTGATGACGGTTGCGGATTGATTTTCTTCAATTCGTCAATCTGGCAGACGGATGGCGGATTAACACCCCTATTAATTTATAAGACTTTGTATTTTTAGTTTGTTTAAATATTCTGTTTGTGCTTTCAATTAAAAAAGAATTTAAATATTCTGTTGAAAAAAAGTTTTCAACTTGAATATCTTTTTTGAATTGAAAAAAATAAACGTATTATTTATTTATATTCTTTTGTTTTTAAATCTATCTCTAACAATACTAAATAGAAAATATGATATATGCTGGTTGGTAATACAGAGACATATAATCTCTATTACTACTATGTTCATAGTTTTGGTGGTTTGAATTGTTTTTATATTTTAAGAACAACATATGGTAATACTTTATGTGGATGAGGCATACTGTGATTGTAATATGTGGATGAGGCATGCAGTGATTTTGATATTCTAAAGTTTCAAACTTTCTTTCTTTGGATAAAGCATGCAGTAATTGTAATACTTTTTTAAATCATTGACTGTAATATTTTTTTTTTTTTTTGAGGAAGTGCACAAGTTGAACTATGTTGAAA